CCACAAACGACTTCAGAAAGCTATCAAAATCTCACAAAGGGGAAAGAAGCCTACCTTCAAGCGCTCTACTGAGCTAGCATCAAAGAATATTATCGTTGGCAGTAGTAGTGGTGGTGCGCAGCGAGCTAATCGATCAGCTGCACCACCATCACCACGCTCGCGTTCAGGCCGCCCCATCAAGCTGCCAATCAAATATCAGTAGATAGATCAAATAAACAATACTACGAGATTACTATACTAGAGTTTCTCGCGATAATAGCTTTTATGTAGAGCTCTACAGCTTCAAGTTTGTGATAGTACTGTTGGGGAGAAATCCGGCGTTGGCCCGTCCGCGGCGTTGGCCCGTCCGGCACCTCTATCAGTAAGCTGGCCGCCCCACCAAAATTGACGCGACGTTTTACGCAATTGAGCCACAACAACGTAATATTTTTGGAGATAATTAAGAGATATAATTCATGATCTAGTCCTGCATGACGTCCGAGTATGTCCTACAGTGTGGCATTTCGTGCACGTTGGCGGCGCGCGCTGGCGTCGCTCACCAGTCTGGTTCTGGTCACTGCCCATAACCAACCTTTCTGCCTCTGCAGTAAGCTGCTAAGCCTACTGCACCTAAAGCACCCCGCTAGAGGCGATATATTAACGGCGCCGGTCTTACTTTTATTATTAGCGCTTATTAACTGTACGTAGCTTCTTATTCTCCTCTACAAGTATTATTGCTGATTACATTACAAGCTAAGCGCTCTTAGCAAGCTGGCGTATAGAAATGCTTATTAGACTCTCTAACTACTAGTGTAGTCGCTCTTAGAGATAGCGCACCTGCTGCTGAAGCTAAGCTACTATATGCGGTGTTTCTGCCTACGTTACGGCGTTATTATCTATAGTTGTCTATAGTAGAGATGGCGTGCGGACAACTATAAGCGACGATAGGACACGCTTAGGATAGAGAGGGACAAGGCCTATCGCCTAAAAGCCTGCCTGGATGTTCTACTGCGTGAAGACTCTCGGCCGGATCTGTGTATAGATAGTGAGGAAGTCTATCTTATTAACGTGGTGGACGCCTTAGCGGGCGAGCTCCTTAATCTCACGCCCATATGCGCGCTTAAGAGGCGAGAAGCAGCTTACATTAAGCGGCTAGAGGAGATGAGACGTGTAAGGCGGCATGCAGAGAGTGATAATCTTATTCTCAGCACAGTACTAGTTGAATTCTAGTATAGCGTGGCTGCCGTAGCCATCTAGAATAAGAAGACGATGGACTCTAGCTGTACGAGACGCTGTATATCAGTTAAAGTGCTTCACCCACTCTACGCTAAGCTCGTCTATTGTCCAGCCATTGTCTGAGACGCTGATAGTTCATTCTAATAGGAGGTCGTGATACCAGCTACTCTAGTGGACTTTACTATACAGAATTATAAAAGGTAGAAGAGACCAGCCAGACGCATTAACGCACTCGATTGCTATTACCCACTTACGATTGCCTAGCTATACGACAACTACCCAACCAACTCTATTAGAGCTAGTTACGACTTTCGACGTTGCAGCGACGCCCATAGCGAATCCAGTCTCGTCAAAGTTATAGATATCCTGGTCTAGAACGCCGTACGTCTAGCGCGTCTCCTCTACTAGCTTAAACCACGCTGTAATTACGATAGGATTCTTATACTGGGCGCGCTGGCTATAGAATCTCCAACTCCACTTTATCTGAAGCTCTAGCTGGCTCTGAATAAAGCGCGGCACCCAGCATTTGCCTATAGGTAGTGGTGGTAGATTCTAGCCACGCGCGGCGAGTAGAGTGTCTGCCATTCGTCGCACGTCAATAATATGTGGTGGAAATCCACGTCGGTCAAGCTCTAGAATCCACTGAACAAGAGACTACTCTTCAATAAGTGATAGCTTGCGCCTAGTAGACGCAATCTCTGACCGTGGCTGGACACCGCGGAGACGCGTCTGGAGTTTTGATTTTGGCACGTCATACGCTTTCGCAAGAGAGTAGATAGAACTTTTTAGATTATTATGATAGGATGCGATAGCAAGGCTTAGTCTGCCTTCACGAGAAGTCTGTATAGAGCGTTGTTGTCGCGGCATTGTGGTGGTGGTTTATTTATTTATTTATTGACTCCTACTCGGTTTCAGCCGCGTGCTGCGCAGCTATGCCCGGAGTGACAGGCGTGGCAGACAGCGGACGCGGTGCGGACGTTGATCCGCGCCGCCCCACTTCATCCCTTGAGAGAGACCATCTGTCCCCAGCAACCTGCCGTCTTCCATCAACCACCATCTATATGCTTTGGCCGGCCATCTAGATAGCGGTTCTACTAATTGCATGCTATGTTTCTAGGCTCGTAGAGGCTCGCTGCCTCGTCTGTCGCGTCCGCTGTACCTACCGTCTCCCCCCAGCGCTCGGCGTCGTCTACTCATCTCTGATCCCCACTTGCCCAAGGATCTGCGTCTGTTCCATATATTCGATAGCTTTGGTGGCTAGCTGCGGCGTGCTCAGGATAGTCCTGAGACTATTCCGTCCGGAATTTGTGGTGATGGTTTATTTATTTATT